AGGGGTGAATGGGCATGATGGTGTTAAGCCACGCCCCTTTCTGCTCTAAGCCCCGCCCCTTTTGTCAAACCCCGCCCCCAGGCCGGAGCTGGGCGTGGCCTCGGTGTCGGTGCTGCAGGAACAGGCGGAGCTGTGCCGGGAGCTGCTGGAGCTGGAGCCACGGAGCCGAGGTGAGACACAAAAATAATCCTAAAAAACCCCAAATTCACCCCAAAAAATAACTCCAAATATCCCTGAAAAAATAACCCAAAAAATAAAAAAAAAATTTAAAAAAATCCCCAAAAAATCCCCAAAAAATCCCCAAAATCGGGAGCTGCTGGAGCCATGGAGCTGAGGTGAGAGAGAAAAAATAATCCTAAAAAAATCCCAAAATATCCCCAAAAACACCCGAATTCAACCCAAAAATATCCCCCAAAAAATAAAAAAAAATCCCCCAAAAAATCCGGAAAAATAAAAAAAAATCCCAAAAAATGAAAAAAAAATCCCCGAAATTGGGAGCTGTTGGAGCCACGGAGCCGCGGTGAGAGAGAAAAACCTAAAAAAAAACCAATCAAAAAAATCCCAAAATATCAAAAAAAATCCCAAAATATCTCAAAAAAAACCCGAAAAAAACCGCCCAAAAATCCCCATGAAAATACCCCAAAAAACCGTAAAAAATACCCCAAAATATTCCTGAAAATATCCCAAAAAAAATCTGCAAAAAAATCCCGAAAAATATCCCCGAAAAAAAACCCCAAAATATCTCCAAAAACATCTGAATTCACCCCAAAAAATACCCCAAAATATCCCTGAAAATATCCTCAAAAAATCCCAAAAAAATCCCCCAAAAATAAAAAAAAAGATTCCAAAAAAATCCCCAAAATCAGGAGCTGCTGGAGCCGCGGTGAGACACAAAAACCTAAAAAAATAACCCTAAAAAACCCCAAATTCACCCCAAAAAATAATCAAAAAATAGCCCCCAAAAATCCCCTCAAAATAAAAAAAAAATTTAAAAAAAAATCCCAAAAAATCCAAAAAATATCCCCAAAAAATCCCAAAACCACCCCGAATTCACCTCTAAAAAAACCCCCCAAAATTCCTGAAAATATTTCCAAAAACCCCCAAATTCACCCCAAAAAAAAAACCCCAAAAAATCTCAAAAAACCCCCTTAAAAACCCCTGTGAAAAATTGGGGGGCATGGCCTGACCCGGTGGGCGTGGCCTTGTTTGAGGGGGCGTGTCCCCATTTGGTGGGCGTGTCCTGACTGGGTGGGCGTGTCCCTATGTGAGGGACGTGTCCTGAATGTGGGCGTGTCCTGAATGTGGGCGTGGCCTCACTGTGGGCGTGGTCTCACTGTGGGCGTGGCCTCACTGTGGGCGTGGCCAGGCTGTGTGGGCGTGGTCTGATTGTGGCGTGTCCCTGTTTGTGGGCGTGGCCAGGCTGTGTGGG